CAGGCCAGGCCTGTGTCTCAGTCTTCCAATAAGATAATGCTGCTGGCCAGGCCAGGTCAACATTGGAGAATTAACCATGTCGGATGGTTTCGAGCCCTCTCCAAGGCCCAAAATGCACCCTTCTTCCAGGGCCCCCTCTTCCGGGTGATTAAGTCTTTTAATGGCCCTTTGACTTCTACTATCCCGGGAAGGCCTTAGCTCACCCCCCCGTTCAAGTCTTCCCTGAGAAGGGGGAAACAGGATGCATCACGGTGGACGATCCCCTTCTATTTCTTTTAATGGGCATTTTTAGTCCCTAATCAATTTGATGGTACCGGCTGATTCCCCGATACCGGTCAAACCTCATGGGCCCGTGTAAGTACGGTTCGAACCTTCTTCCAAGTCCAGCCCTCTTGCAGGCATACCCTCTTTCGGGCCCCTCTTCCGGGTTTATTGTTTTTTATTTTATACTGAGCAAGACCGGTGTAGTAATCGGCGTGTCAGGTCCGGACCTGTGTCTCAGTCTTCCCTTCTTTTCTTTGTAAAGTATTGAGTAAGACCAATGTAGTAACCAGTGTGCTAGACCGGGCCCATATCTTGATGAACCAAGACCCCAAATTGTGTAGTAAATTATTGCTCTATATTGCATGCTATAATGTACCCACTCCACAATCACTTGTTAGTGGTGGGTCCCTTCAGTTTTTTACGTGAAGCTTCCTTCAATATTTCACCACCACAAGTAAAGTGGACCCAACCTTGCATGCCATATTTACTTTATGATGATTGATGAGTACTCTGTATCAAAAGGAATCCCACCACATGCATGATGCACTTGTGGTTCTCCATGGATTTATCTCTTTCTCTTTATGATGGGCCCATCTCTGTGAAATCTTCCACAGCTTCACGTGCTTGATTTGAGATGATAATATTCTCTTTCCTTCTTGTTTTGGAATCCATGTGTTGGCCAAAGGACAAAGGAGATGAACCTCACGCGCCCACTCCGACCCCAGTCCAAAGGGCGATGCCGGTAGTGCGTTGCAGGGAGACGACGAGGGACAGCCTGGGTGAGGTTGATGATGGCGCTGAGGGTGTAACCCAGCAGCATTAGCGGGGGTCTCCATCACCAAGGTCGTCAATTTGGGTAATAGTGACTAGCTCCAACATCAACACCGTCGGTGATTTGCTTCAGCGGTTGATAGATTTCAACATGGTCGGGTAAAATCCCTCTACTGACGGCAGATCTTCTACAACAATATTTTTGAGCAGCAGCAGGCGCAGCATCGATGAATTCAGCAACACCGGGGGATGAGTTTGAGAACAGGCGCCGACGTACCCCAACAACAATGGTGGCAACACGGGAGATCTACGTCCTCCGATGAAGGTAGTCATCAGAGAGAGTGAAATGGCAGCAACCATATCCCCGATAAAGGGGCTGTGATGAATCGCAATGGTGGACTCTAATCATAGCAACGTCGTACTTTAAGAATGGCAGTCATGGATTTTAGCCAGGGTGGAGTGGCGGGCCTAATTAAGTTGAAATTAGATTAGGCAGTAGGTATGTATCATCCCCAGTAGACCTAGAGGGTTACCCCAGAGACTCCAATTGACTTCAGCGGCGATGGCCTTCAACGGTGGCAGGGATCCCTAGTGGCGGCGGGTGAAGATCTACAGTCAATCAACATCAATAACGATTTTATCTCCTGGCGCTAAATGTGGACGACGGGCTGACCACTCCTTTCTTTGCAGATGGATTTCCAGCAACCTGCGGCAGTGGTGGCCAACCCACGACGGCAGCGGCGAACAGAGAGTGATCTCTCTGGTTTTTTTTGTACCCCTATTACCCCTTGCCGGAATTCCATCTACTGGGCGGGGTACGAGGGCGGTACAACTCTTTTTCTGCTCCGGCAACACCTCATTAGTGTTTAGTGTTAGTTGTGGTGGTGATTGGGGCGGGTTTGAGCAGCGGCGGAGGCGGCGACGGCGGCGGAGGCGGAGGCTCAGCGGAGGTGGCTGCGACGGCTCTGAGCAGTAGCGATGGCAGGCTCCGGTAAGGAGTACCAGCAGTGCTGGATCCAGGGGCGCTTCAATTTGGGGTGCTCCTCTTTCTCTTTTTTTGTAAAATCAAAAAATCAGAAAACTCACCCCTCTCTCACTCTTGAATCACCCACTTCTTTTTCATTTCAACCCCTTTTATTTGGGTTTTTTTGTATGAGCAGGAAGGATAAACATCAAAATCATGGATTTTTGCTCGGGTCCCACAGGTGGCGCTAAAATGATGGTGTAAATTATCTACCGGTATATCGTTTTAGCCCGGCAAAAACGATAAACTAGTCTAAAAAAATACACCAAAATATAAACACGGGGATTTTGACGTAGAAACCCAAATCGGGAGAAAACCACGAGCCTTTTTTGGCGGTACCTTGCCAACGGGGGATTTTTTATTAATATCAGGGGTTGTACAAGGTACATGAATTGGGCTCGGAAGCCATTAATGAAAGCTTGAAGCTTCTTTAAAGAAATAAAGTGTACAATCTACAATATTCTAGAGAGAGAAAGAGTGTTTGGGCAGGAGAATAAGAGAGGAAAATGGCCTCCCTTAACATCGAGGGGGAGCCCTCCTTTTATAGGGGAGTAAGGAAAGAATATTCGGGGAATATTCTCTTATTCCTCCATTTTATTAAACAGGTCTGGTTTGACTGTTCTTCGTAAATAATTGGGAAATGTGGGCCGAGCCACGTATTATTTCCCATCACCTCCTATGTAGTAGCATGGGCTTCCAACCGAACCTTTTTAGTTGGCGATACTCTAGGTGAGTTCTCCCTCCCTCTCTACAATAAATTCTCGAATTAAGTTACTTGTAGGTCCCGTTTGGTATACGGAATTCAAATTATAGAATTGGAATTGAAAACTTCAATTCCAATTCTGATGTTTGGTACCACAAAAATTATGTGAATTTGGAATTGATAGTGAAAAAAATGAATAGGAATTGGTAGAATTCAATTCTATGGAATTGAACCAAAGTGAATTACAATTTCAATTCCGTCAATTCTGTGTACCAAACGGACCCGTAGACTAAAACATGTTCCCCAAGTTCACCACATGTGCACCTTCATTTTATAAAAGTGTGATGGTTTACAGAAACACAAAATGTTACTGTTATTTTTTTTATTGTATAAATATTTTGTATCACTGTGAACCATCAAAATGTTTGTGCATAGATATATTGGTATGAATTTTGGGAAACCCTTCTTTGAGGAGTGTACCCCATGGTTCTAAATTCTCGTCTTTGTATGTTTAAATTAAATATAATTTTATTTATATTGAAATCGTATATCAATTGCCCTCATCTGGTAAAATTGTGTATCTAAACATCATGTGTATCAAACATGTTATTTCAATTTAATTTATATAAAAAGTGTTTTAAAATATACGATATGAGTATAAATTGGTAAAAAAAGCAAATCAATCTTTTAAAAAATGATATTTACCCGCCTATAAAGCCTCCTCAGACCCGAGACCCGGCTAGACAGTCACTAAGAAGAGATAAATTATATTTCGAGCATAGATTGGTTGCAAATGGTGGAACCCACACCTGGTACTTGTTGAGGCTCGTGTCTTACCTCTTGGGTATTTCTTGCCTTTATCAACTTCGCAACGTCCACCGACATAATAAAATATAAAAGCATATAAGGTGATGGGAAATAATACGTGGCTCGGCCCACATTTCCCAATTATTTACGAAGAACAGTCAAACCAGGTCTGTTTAATAAAATAGAGGAATAATAGAATATTCCTCCGTAGATGCTCCAACTAATCCTATAAAAGAAAGGCTCCCCCTCAATGTTAGAGGAGCCAATTTTCACTCTCCTTCCCTGCCCATTTACTCTCTCTCTCTAGAATAGCATATATTTTTCTTCTTCTTCAAGAGCTCAAAAGCTCCATTAATGGCTTCCAAGCCTAAATAATGTACCATGTACACACACCCGATATTAATAAAATCCCCCGTTGGCAAGGTATCGCCAAAAAAGGCTCGTGGTTTTCTCCCGATTTCGGTTTCCACGTTAAATTTCCTGTGTTTATATTTTGGCGTATTTTTTAGACTAGGTTATCATTTTTGCCGGGTTAAAAACGATATATCGGTCGATAATTTACACCTTCATTTTGGCGCCGACCGTGGGAGCGAGAGTTTACCCATTGAGTACCATAAACCAGAGAGAGATCAAATAGATAAAACAGAGCCAAAGGAGGGCTACACGAGAAAATAAAGAGATGGGAGCATGATACTTTTTTCTCCCCCCACGCCAACAACAACAAAAAAAGAGGAAATAAGAGAGGAGATCTACTCCCCTGCGGCTGCCTGGACTTTAGCAGCTGAGCCGCCATCACCGAAATCTCTATGCGGCCATCATTATTTTGGGTCTTGACTAAAAGTTGAGGCTAGCGCTGAGATCTAACCGGCACTGCCTCTGGATATCTTCCGATCAATGCCGCTGTTGAAGTCCTCAGTGACCATTATTGTTTTGTTAATATTTGTGAATCTCTGAATATCAATCCCTCCCTTGAACTCTTCCTTCATATGTATGACGTCTTGCCCGGGACTAGCAACTGCCCGGGCTTTATTTATCTCCATTCTCGAGCCTCCTCTAGAGGGTTTATAACCGGGCTTCCCCCCAGCCATAAGAAATGGAAAAAGAGATTTGTCTTCATTGAATTTCCCCCTGACCAATTTCCTTTCACTAACCCTCAGTGGGCTGATTGGGTTATGAAACCTGAAAGGATTCACCTGGAGCCCACTAAAGAGCTTGAGGCCAGTTCTCCTGATCCTGCAATGAAAGGTAGGTTAGTACCACAACAAAAGCCTTACTTGGTACATCAAAACAATGGGTTAAGGAACAAAATAGGAGTAAAATATTGATTAAAATCCAAAATAGGAGTGAAAACATAAAACTCCAAAATAGGAGTTTCGTGGCAAGAACAACTCACTTAAAAACATAAACAATCACGGCCATGCATTTGGTAGCCACTTTCTTCATCTTTAATAATAGACAAGTTAAGCAATATCAACCTTAATCACACCCTTCTCAAATGGGGTCTTAAAAGAAAACCCCCTCTGGAGCCCATAAACTACCCCATATAAAAAGGCTTACCAGTTGCTGAGAGGTATACCGCAGCCAAGATCTGCCACTTTCATCACCCCTTGCTCCTGTTATCGTTGCACGGTGTCGTCGCTAACCCCCACAGGTGTAGTGCCATGGTGTTACATGGAGAAAAAATAATTCATACAGTGTAGAAGACAATTAGAAAAGAATCCCAAAAAAGTAAAAAGAAAACAAATAGAAATAGTTTGGATTATGGAAAGAAGACAATTAAAATAAACAAACACACAATAATCTCTCCATTGTTAGCGATCTATCCCAAAAAAACAAAAAAAATTCCACCCCACCAATAATAATAAAAAAGAATCCCAAAAAAGAAAAAAGAAAACAAATAGAAATAGTTTGGATTGAAGAAGTAATAGCTAGCCATATATTAGCATCTATGCATGCATGAGAGTTATCATTAGTCAAACATTGTGTGTCATATATGTTCATTTAATTCCCGCAAAGTCAGTGAACGGGTGGCTCTCGGCGGCTAAACAATTGTACAACAAAAATATTTAATTACTCCTATTTAGAAGAGTTTAAGTTTGAACTCCTACTTTGAGGATATACCACATGTTTTACTCCTATCTAAAGGGTTTTGTTCAAAACAATTGGGATGAGTCTGGGCTAGGCTAACATTCTCCCCTTTGTTATGTTGACAAATAAGGCTTTCAAAAGACTAAATTTGCATGATCAATCAAGATAAGCGAACTTCCGTGATTCAAATGATAAAGAAACTCCCCCTCTTTAAGTACCCCCCCCCCCCTAAATTAGTGCATACAAGAAATCCAAAACTTCTCTCGCTTTTGGAAACAACAAAAAGGGATGAGGGCAAGGCACGTAACCAAAGATAAACAACATGCATAATTTGAGTTTAAAGATGTCCATCACACACAAGTTCAACAACCAATTCATAAGAGTCCTACAAACCATGAGAATCATATATAAGTTGAAGAAAGAGAAAATAAAATAAAATGTTTGACCATAAGAGAATAAAGATGCATAAGTGTGACATCCTAAGAATGTTCAAACCGGGACTTGGAGTGGTGAGAAAGGACACAGTCAAGTTTTTCTTTAATTCTTCCTTGCTTCTCATCAATTTCCACTTGCTTCTTCTCAATGTCCTTCACCTTTGAGGCGATCTTCTTCATCGGGCCTATCACGTTCTTCTTGATGAACTCAGTTAGTTCTTGGATAGTCCTAGGGTATTCGCCACGACGAGATTGGTGGGTGGACCGTGCGCTTGTAGTAGAAGCCGATGCTGAGGCTGATCCGCGTGTTGAAGAAGAGCGACGAAGAGAGCTAGAAGATTCCTCGAAGGCCACAATCTCTTGACGTGTACGTACGGAAGAGGTAGAGCTCCTATGAAGAGGGTCGCGAACGGACTCCGGAAGAGCTTCCCACTCACGCTTTGTATAGTACACTCCAAGATGACGGGCAATGTTATTTCGAGCAAAAGAAGTAGCATTGAAGTACTTAGGATCGCCCAAAGTGAGTTGAAGCAACTTGTGTGAGGCAAGGATGTGGGTAATGACCATGCCATAGGGCTTGAAGGCCTTGGATTTGCATTTCTCCATGTGATAGAGAATGAGATGTGCGAGGTTGATTTTCACCCTTTTGTAAATCAAGTAGAGAAGGGTGCATTCAAAGATGCCAACGGTTTGGTCCTTATTAATAACGGGGGCAATGTTCTCCTTGATAATTCCCAGAAGTATGAGTTGATTTTCCGTAAGGTCTTGAGCCTTTGGGCGTGGAAGGGTTGCATCAAATTCTGGAAAAATTTTCTTTGGGAATTTTGTGAAGAAACCTTAGGCAGTCTAGAGCATCAAAGTGGGGAAGGGAGAAAGATTTTTGGTCGCGGTCGCAGAAGGTAGAAGCACGGTCAAAAAAACAGGTTAGGATTTTTAAAGTGACTTGACCCAGTCACGTGGTTGCGGTAGCGTGCTACCATCAAATGGTATCAAGTGACCGTGACATAGTAACTAGTTACCGCTACCGTTAGACAGCTCCTACCTGAACCAGGTTCTGATTTGATCAAGGCTAATGACAGTGCATTTTACTCATAGGTCATTTTAGTTTAGTTTATGAATGAGAATATGTGACCTAGGAGTTATTCAACTCAAGCATCCCAATTTCTCGACAAATATGTGAAAATTGTTTTTCATCAAGAAAATTTGTAAAAATGTCGGCACGTTGATTATTTGTACCTACATATTCCTCGGAAATATCACCTTTAGCAACATGATCACGTCTAAAATGATGTCTAATTTCAACGTGCTAGTTCTAGAATGTAAAACTGGATTCTTAGAGATATTTATGACACTATAATTCTCACAAAAGTAGGTACTTTTGTAAACTTTAGGTTGAAATCACCAAGTGTTTGCATCATCCATAGGATTTGAGCAACACAACTTCCAACACAACATTGGATGACCCAGACACTAGTGCATGACCATAAAATTGACAAAGGCCACTTGTGCTTTTCCTATCAATCCTACACCTTCTAAAAGTCCGCATCACTAAAACCTATCAATCTTAAATTTGTATTCTTAGGATACCATAAGCCCATATTGGTGGTTCCTTTGACATATCTAATTATTCACTTGACGGCGGTTAGATGTGATTCTTTGGGTGATGACTAGAAACATGCACAAAGGCAAACAGAAAACATTACAATGGGTCTAGATGCAGTTCTACCAATCATACCTCGATATATCTTTTCACTCACGGATTGTCCATTTTCATCACTGTCAAGTTTCAACGATGAACTCATTGGCGTAGCATATGACTTTGCATTTTCCATATCGAATTTCTTGACTAATTCCTTGGCATATTTGCTTTGACTTATGAAAATGCCATCTTTAAGTTGTTTGATTTGTAGCCAAAATAAAAAATTCAATTCTCCCATCATGCTCATCTCAAATTCACTTGTCATTAGTGTTGAAAATTCATTACACAAAGCTTTGTTAATTGAGCCAAAAATAATATCATCTACATAAATTTGCACAATGATGAAAACTTTTCCTTTGATTTTAACAAATAAAGTGGAATCTAGACCTGTGCAAATAATGATCCGGACCGGATCTGGGCCGGGCTTAATATAAATTATTAACCCATTTACATGGGCGGGCCTGGTCCGACCCGGATTTGATGGGCTAAACTATTTACCCATACATGCCCACCTTAGCGGGCCGAAATGTATGTTTAGAGAGGCTTAGGAAAGGTATTTATAGTGTTTAAGAATAAAAGGATCGAGATCATAACGTTAATGACCATTTGGAAGTGATTAGGGTTGGTCAAAGTAGATTAAAATTTGAAATCTAGGGCTTCAACGGTCAGACGTTACCTTGGTACTCTGTAACGGTACTTTGGTACCGCCACAAGCACGGCAAGCCTGGGTAAAAAATGTAGCCTTCAGTCACACGGTCGCTCGCTACCGTGTAACGGTACTTTGGTACCGCCACAAACATGGCAAGGCTGTGCAAAAAGCGCAGCCTTCAGCCCGACGGTAGCTGACTACCATGTTACGATAGTAACCTACCATTACAACTACTGCAAGTCTGTCTAAGTAGAATTCCAAAATTTGAATTTGATTCTTTTTGTTTAAACACTTTACAAATCATTTTTAAATCAAAAATAAAGTATTTTGAAAGTGTAGGGGATATCAAATATGATAAATACACTTATCCTTGACAGTCAAACTAACGAAGGTTCGTTTTGAGCTTTTGGACATGCTCAAACAAGTATAGTGAGGTGGGTAGGCTTTGTTCCTGCAACGATAAGTTAACACTAAAACAAAGACTTGTTTGGCACATCAAAACAATTGGGATGAGTATGGGCAAGGCTAACAAATAAATATGCTTTTCTACTCTGCTTTCCTTCATCATGCTGAAAGTGCAAATCCAAAAACTTAAAAGAAAAGCCTTCGCATTAAATACAAGTTAAATAACAATGCAAATGGGCTTGAATTGTTTTGGCGTATTGGTGTTGGAGCATGGAGATATGTATAGATATATGGATTATGATGCAATTTTGATCTTTCTTTCTTTGTACTGCTTATTTCACTTTTGAATTGAATACTAATCGAAAATTTTAATTTTAGCACATCTTGTTTGCCTTTTGCAATGTCTGCTCCTCAATTGGTTCACCATTATATTGTTTTATACTCCTCGGTCGACTTAAGGTAAAACTAACAGAGTCATACTACAATAGCTAATTGGTTCACCATTACATTGGTTCTAATACCTACATAATCAGTTTTCAACATGTATACTTAGGATAATCAGGAATAACGTGTACATATATGATGCACATGTTAATGATAATAATGTTGCAAAAAAATTGAAATATCCTATTTGTCTATCTTTAAATCGTTTACATAAATAAATTAATGCAGAGCAGTTATAATTTTTAATGGAAAGCTACATTCAAGATATGAACTTTCCCCACATGATATATACATTTCAATTTGTAAAGTTCTATATAATTAATGATTGTGACTATTTCTGTAAGGAGTCTTTTGTGTTCTACAATTGATCTGTTTGATTTTCAAAGAAATAGCTTATGCAATTGCATTTCCACCATTAAGATAGTAGCAATCCATGTCTAATGTTTTTCTCTTTATTTAATGTGAAACAATGGAAATGGTTTGTTAGAAATATCAAAGCTTCTGTGTAATTTCATTTCACTATTTCAAAATGTGAGCTCAGGAGCTAAATAGCATTCCCATAGAAATGATCTTCAAGTATACAATCATTTGAATTAGCTACTATTGCATTAGCTTTTGTATACAAATCTACTAGAAGTTACTACAAACTAGTGAAACTACCAACTTACACTTCAACAAGTTGCCACAAAATATTTTTACAGTAACTACATTTCGAGTTCATCCCAAGCATCCCTGCATGTATTTGCC